TCTACTGAAACTATATGAACAACATGATGTCTGAGGAATCATTTTACTCATTCATGATATGCCAACATCATCGCTTAGATTAAACCTACAGGGGATCTTGAACAGAACATGTAAAAAACATAATCAGTCATGGTTCATACTTGCATGGTTCATAGGCAGCAAACTGATAGTATATCTTCAGTAATATTACACTTACTCCCAGATGGTCACTTGATGAGGTTATTGAACAGCTCCTCATATACAAAATGACATTAAAAATAACTCCAAACTCGATCTTAAATGGAAGAAACCATCCCCATACTGACCTCTGTGGCTTAAAAGATGCAAGTCTGTTGAAGTTCAACACATCACTGCTAGGCAGAGGTGTAGCACCAAATTCTGGGCCCTATGCATAAGCAGTCTCTGCAGGGCCCCTGCCCTTACTAAATTTTACGCCTTAAAGGGATGAGAGGGGCCTCAGGGAGTTTTTTTATACAAAGTCCAGTCTTTCCAACACAGTCTCACTTAGAAGTCGTCGATTCTGGCCCTTGGGCAGTGACTTGTGGTGTCGGACACCATCGGAAAAAGCCATCTTTTAACGTCGGCATGATATGCGGCCGGTCACCGGTATTTTTTTATGGCAGTCTGTGGCATCAGGTGGAAACGTGGCAGGACAAGAACGAAAGTTAAGGTGGTGAAAGTCCAGGTGGGGCGGGTAGGAGGGATGGTGGATGGGTCCAACAAACATCGACTTTCACCTGGGAGAGTGGTGTTTGTGTCCCATAACATTATGAAGCCAAACTCTGCTCGTTTTTCCTAAATCCACCAACATGCTTTTGTTGCCTAAACCCAAGCGTGTGCGTTAGTTGTTGAAGGAAAAACAACGGCAATCTGCGGTGTTGTACCGACGTAGTGTGTCTATTTTGAAAGAGACTGTATGTAAATGGTAGTACATTTCCTGTGACAACAGAAGTGTATTTTGAAAGAAGACAATGCATGTAACAGAAACAACTTGACATGGCATCCCAGAACATCAACAACCTATGCACCCAGGGTACCTTTCACGTTGTATCTGGATGTGGAAAGTCCATGACCAAATGTTGATATGTGAGAAATGTATGATTGAGAATGTATTGGTCTTTCAACTGATTTATTCAGCCGATTTTGATTAAGTTATGGTACTTACTTACTTAGGAAGACAAAATTGCAAACAAAACCAAACTTTTTGTTCTAGGGATTTTTTTAGCCCCTAGATTGTGTGATCGGTCAGACCTGATTGTAGATAATAATCTTGTTCTTCACTACTTTGACACAGCTCCTCATACAGTTTCCCATTCCATCTCCTGTGTTTGAGTCCCAGTCCTCTTACTAACCTGCCTTTTTGTCCCAGTTCTTTTACGTCAGAGCTAACCAACTTTTCTTCCTTGACCCTGCGTCAGTTTTCACTTTCCTTTGTGCCCTTCTTAAATACTTTAAACATGCTCCTGACATTTTGTTTGAAGACTCCTTGTAAGAGAAGTGGTTTACTTATCTCTCTGCTTCATCTTCTCTTCAACCTTTCCGCAATCTGCCTCAGAACACATCTTGGTTTGAAATGGGAGTTTTTCAGCGTAGAATTTGTTGTGGGCTGCCTTTCATATTTTCTCCATCCATTCCACCCTCTGTTCAACAGCAATAATTTTTTCTCTAGGTTTCTTCTTCATGCCATCCTCTTGGTTGCGCCTTACTAAAGTCCTCCTTCTTGCCCTGGTTGTTTCTTCCATAGCATGTTTCTATTTTGTCCTGACTGGACCACAGGATGGGGACAATGTGCTTGGTCTTTCTCAAGTCTTGCCGCTTCTGAATGAATAAGGTTGAATTGTTTTCCAGAGTTCCTTTGAACTCTAAAAGGTCTTGATAGAGGTTGGGATGCCCGCAGTCACTCTCTCTAAAGCCAGCACTGTGTCAACTTCAGCCTCTAGCAGGGCCTATTCAATCAGTTCTGTGGTAGTTCTGGAAGCCTGTCTTGTAAATGTAGTATTTCTTATGGAAGCTCCTCGTGGTCCCTATGAGTCTGTCATGCTGAGAGCCTGTGGAGATGGTTTATACATTGCTTTTACTAATAATAATTTGCTAATTCATTATCAAAATTCTGTGCATTAATCTACGTAATATATGGGGTTTATCATTCCAAGAAAGCTTCTCTGGTCCTTGTTTGCCTTTGACTTCTGCCCCAATTTCATGTTGTAATTATCCTACCTGAAAATATTGTTGAGGACAGATAGTGTGATATTTTTTCTGGACCCTTCAGGACATATTTAGTGGCACAGCCTGATCTAAGTCATCCTCAGTTTCTTTCAGTTGCTGCTTTTTCTCTTGTCTAATTTTGTGAAGTCAACCACTGATTGCTTTTTGCCTCTGTGTCATCCTCTTTTCAGTTCTTCTTTTTATTGATATGACCCTCCTGACTCTCTGTCAGTGGGAGATGATTTGACAGGCTGACTTTTCCATTCAGCCATTGCATTTTCTGAGTTTTTGTTGTCTGGGAGCTTCTTCTGTTGCTCTGATGTAACACCTTGAAGCCACACAAAGTTGTTTGGCAGAGAACAACATAAACAATAATGGTTTAGCTAAAACTCCAATCCCTACAAACCCACGCAGATGAGTCATGTTTAGCCCTTTTCATACAGATGAATGTGACCTTTCACACAAAGCCAACTGCAGCAAAAAAAGACACAATTTTAAAAGCACTTCAGTTGCTCCAAAAACTTTCCAACAAGACTGGTCTTTGAAGTTAATGCTGAAAAGTGTATTTATTATACATTTCTGCATAATATATGAATTATGATATACAAAGTAGACGTGCATTTGTGTGTAAAAATAGTAATAATCCACAGAAACTGAAGCAAAATAAAGTTCTTGCCACATGCAATTAAGTTTTTTTAATTTTTTGAAACCTTTTCAGCCCAACGCATTACAAACTACAAACGTACTCAAACCTGCATAACTTTATTTTAGAATTTTAGTTGACATCCCATGTTTCATTTCATGTTTCATGCAGAGTAAACATCACAACATTTCAACATAAAGGTGGAACAAGCTGATAAGCAATATGCAGTATATGTGACTGTGTCAGACAGACAGTAAAGGTGAATTTTCAATGTTACACATTCTTAAAAACTTATGAGGAAATGCAGGAGAGAAATTGGATTTCACAGTGGATTCAAAATAAAACAACACAGCACTACACCGTGCACTCACCAGAGTATGAGAATACTTGCAGTGCAGATCCAAATATAAACAGCTGGTTTGCTTCAGTGAAGTAAGGTATTGATATGTTTTCCCTCCCATCATAAGCACAATGGGTTATATGGGTAGACTGCACAGGAAGCATTTTGTTTTTATTCATTTCTGCCAACGCTTGAATGGTTAAAGATTTTCAGTGTTAGCTACATTAAAAAACACACATCTTTTAACTCTCCTGTGTTATTTCATTAAAAAGAAGGAAACTCAGACTGAGAAACTATCTAAAGCATAAAATAATTGAATAGTTTGAAAAAGTCTTTGGCTCTCATGATCTGCTAAAGACAAGTGTCATCCATCCTCAAATAGAAGGATGTTTCAAAATCAGCCCCAGTGAGCTATTAGCTGGCCAAGATCTACCATATGGGCAATCTGGGCACATGCAAAGCGGCCCCTCAGCATAAAAGGGCCCTCCATGATGAGAGGTAAAAATGTATACATTTTTTTTATGTTGAGCTCCACACAATTATGACACAAATCTTGACCCACTTTTTTTTTTCAAGAAAATTTAAGGGTATCACCACCTAAATTATGAATTCCAACATGTTATTTCCATGGCCTTGGAAAGTTCAATCAATACTTGAGAAGTAAGTCTCAAGCTTGTGATGTCATAGGGTAAAAAACCTGAAACTGCTCCTGAGATATTAAATAGCAGACCGATTTTATGGACCCACAGCATTTTTGTTTTCTTTTCTCTACCCAAATGATCTTTGTTCTACTGTACTGTTCTCAGTTCTGAAACAAAAAATGCATTAATGTACTCAAAACATTCCCCTGGGTGCTTTCAGTGTCATAGAACATTTTTTACCATTCATTGTCTGCAGCACAGCTCCAGACATTATAACCCCATGACGCCACAAATTTGAGTTTTAGTACTTTTTGGATATAGAAGAGCATTGTTCACATTACATTTACTAATGTTTTTGGACTGTTTAGACCATGTCTGAATTTTAAAAATGGGCATAGTTCTCCTTTGGTCTAATGATTACTTGTTTTTGTTTAAGTTTTATTTTATTGTCTGTTTTCATGGCATTTGGCCACTTTTAGGTAATTGGAGGAACATTTTAAGCCAAAAACAAGAAGAAACAGCTGCAAGTGTTAATGAAAAAACTCATAAACGGACGCTGTAACACTCCAAATGGCCACTAGGTGACGGTATTGGACAACTCTGAATCCAATCCCGACCCAGCGCACAAATCCACACTGCACCTGTCTCCAGATCCACACCACAGGTGGACTTTATTTACTCTTCCACATTTCCACTATCACATATGATGCATACTGAGCTCTTGACTTTCATTATTTGCAGACTCATGAAAAAGTGTTTCTGAAAAGTTGTTTGTTGAGTTGTAGAATCGTTTGTGTTTTCCTATGAGGCATAATGACTACACGTTTTTTTTAATCTTATATAGTAACTCCAACATTTCTGAAAGGAATGTACAGCCTCTATAATCTGTGTCCGTGGTATCTCTTTATAAAAGTGGCATACTTGTACTCTATTCCAGATTGTGTCACAACAGGTCCCACTCATTGCTTTTATTTGTTTGTTTTAATAATGTATGAATTATTTTTGTCATAGGCTGCCTTGGCCGCGGGTATGCGTCCGATTAACCAATGGAAAAGTACCATTAGGAGTTCTGTGCCTCCTCCCTCACCCAAATCACCCCCACCTCCCCTCCCCGCGCTGCTATGTTTGGGTCTGTCCCGTGTCCCCGCCGCTCACCCACAGTCCTGTCCTCGCAGAGAGAAGCAGTGAACCCTCACACTGTCTCCCCGCTCCACCGGTCCCAGGCTGGTGCGTCCCGTTGCGCACAGCACAGTTTCCACTCTGCACACTTCACAAGCGCTCCGGATTTCTCCAAATCTTCAGGACGGTTGGTGGGAACGATAGCTTCACCTGTGCGAGCCAATATGTTTCATGTGTGGATGAGAGAGTTTCGGTGACAGGAAGACTCGAGGGAGTTCAGGCACAGCCAGTCAGCGGATCGTTTTGATAGCGACAGGATGGGATCGCAGACCGGGGCAGCTCTGCAGAAACAGACGCTCCTGTGGTTCATCGTAGGTGAGTCTCTCACACTGTGGCTGTATTTATGTGTGTGAAGATATGCAAAGGTGTTAAACCTAAACTATGACCTCTGTTTGTGAAATATGAGGCAAATAATCAGAAACAGATCCCTCAAATCAGTTTGAAACAATTCAGTTGGGACACTTACTGTGTGCATGGAGGATTATAAGATGTGTAAAGGACTTCAATCACTCTCATTCACTTTCAGAGCCAAAGAGAGGAAAATCCCTACAATTTAAATATTTCTATCTCAACCAGTTATGTAAATTTTGGGTTTGTTGGATGTCCCATACACTGACAAAAGCAATATTGTGCCAAGGGCTCAATGTGCTCAGTAATCATATTCAAATGACCTTTTCTAATTGTTTTCCTCATTTATACCATAAAATACTTTATTATCTCTCTCCCTCTTATTATACTAATTACCTAACCTGTGGGTTATTTTATTATAACAAATTTATTTAAGGATTAATAGTGGTGCCTGTCACAGTGTGTGATGAAATATAAACTACATAATCTCTGTTTAAACTAGAGCACAGCAGTGCAGCTGGAAGTGATGGATTTTTCGAGTGGAGGTGGCTACAGTCAAAGGAAAGTGTGAGGGAGACCTGCACATATTGGCACACTTCCTTACTTTTCTCCAAAATCTATAAATATATATGACATGGAGAGAAAGCTGAAAGTTTTTGGTCCTTAATCTCTGCAGTCAAGACAGGAATTTGTACAGCTGTGTAGCTGCACTCAGTGGAAACATTGTTTAGAAAATACTTGATTATATATGTACATTTTTATTCAGAGTTGGGGGTTGTGAAATGTGAAGATAAACCATCTGATTTGCAGATTTATGATTGTAGAAAATACATGAAATAACAGTACACCCACTCATGACATCACTAACTTTACAAAGTCAACTTCTTTTTTTTTTTTAAATATATTATATATTTTGTTCAGACTGAAGGTAACCACCTTCTCCTCTGTTGTGAAGCACAGTTCAGAGGCTATTCTGAAAACACATTTTATCTGGAAAAATACAACAGAGATGAAAATCTGCTTAAATATGCATTAGTTCTCACCTTGTAGTTTTGTCTCTTCAGTGGACAGGACAAGATGGCATTAAAGTGCCTCCTATTATAGCTGTAATAAAGTGCTCTGACATTAAACCAGATCCTGCAGAGTTCACTGTATTTAAGTAAATCAGTTTGATAGGTGGGTGAAGGCTGCTCTAAATGTTACATTCTCTCATTGAGGTGTAGGTCATTTCTTTTAACGCGTTGCAGCATTTGTGCAAGCGTGCAATTTTATCAGGTTATTATCAGGTCATGCTTACCATTAAGATGTTTAATTCAATGAATCCATTAATTCTTATGAGATGTAGGATGCTCAGTTGGAGGGGTTGTGAAAAAGACAACTATACTTGTGGAGCAGCAGCTTCTGTCATTCATTCTAGAAAACAACAACAATAGGGAAAAAAAGATATAAATATGCAAAAGTAAATATATCCATCTATTGGCAGTTGTCAACACTGACCTGTTGGTTGGCGATGTGTGATCCAAGAGTGGCTCCTTCTTAAAGGAATACTTTACCCTCAAAGTAATCGTCTGTACAAAAGTTAGTCATGCCATGTTACATTGAATTTTTGAAGAAAACTTTGTTTTTCTTGCATGTCTCTGTGGAAAACAACAAACATATTCATTTATGATTGATTGGTAACCGCATTTAACGACAGAGCTATGACAACACAGTCATTTAAAAACTCTCACACAACTCGCACAGTGTAATCCAAGTGTCATTTATCCAGTCCTGCTCTCAGACCTTCCCAGACACATGCATTTTGACTAAAATATTACTATGTAAAACTGAATTTAAAGTGAAACTTATCTAATCATCAAATCCAGACTCCAATATTAAGGTTTTTCTTTATTTCTAACTTTTCTAAGCTAGCTCATTGGACTATAGTTAGGTCTGGTGTTTGGAACCACTTTGGTTTCGCTGTGAATTATGTGGCTGATGGCGAGAGTGGTTGCCTAAAAAAACCTTAATGTGACATCTCCTACATGAAAGTAGGTTAAATAAGTGGGAATACCTCCAAACATGTCAACTTATTTACACCGACTTCAACCCAGTGTGTCAACTGGTGGAAAACAAGAAGCAACACAAGCTACAAGCTACACGCTTACATTATTCCCGCAGCATTTAGGCAGTTATTCCTAAGTGACTCAACCACGGAAAAAGGAATAGCCGCAGTGATTGGTAACGTTACATTTATAACTGAAAATATGAAAAAAGCTCGCACACTGCAGGGCTCCTGTTTAGTGAGATTTATTTCACCTAGTAGTGACGACGTCTCGAGCCACCGCTCTTCATCATCATTGATCTGATGAAGTGCGATGGCTCGAAATGTCGTCACTACTAGGTGAAATAAATCTTGCTAGATAGAAGCCCTGCAGAGTGCGAGCTTTTTTCATATTTTCAGTTTCAGACATTTTTGGCTCAGCACCTGCACAATTATGTTTGTGGATGTGTGTGCTTTTTCATTGCTTTAACGTTACATTTATAGCCACAGGTAAGAGACCCAACTCTGTAGTGAAAAGAACAGGCTTTATAAACATGCTTAATATACAGTAGAAGCCCAAGTTATGATGATCGTTTATTGATATATATATATGATGATGGTTTATTGTCAATCTGAATCTGAATCTGAATATTCTACCCATTAATATGTTTATATAAGTGTATAATCGCTATAAAATAAAATTCGTTTGGTTTTCGTAGCCTTATAATTATGCTTTTATATATATATATAGCAAGGGCCTTGCTTTAGAGAGATCGCCATCTTGCGCCGCCATGTATGTACGGCAGCCCGAGTGGACAATCCAGCCAGCCAGAGAATGCGTTTCGCGTGTATAAATGAACTAACGAAGACAGTGGAAGGAAGGAAGAAGGAGGAGGAAACAGCAGAGAGTGTTAGTAGTTCGTTGATAGAGAGTAGTGAAAAGTTTTTTTAGTTATAAAGTTTGCGAATGGACCACACTTACCACGCAACAGGAGAGAACGAACCCGAACCGTCATCTACGAGGAAAAGAAGACGCAGCTTCACTCCTTGTGATGCACTCTCTGCGGCGCTTTTCCTCCTGATGATATATCTCCCCAACGATGGTAGCAGTAGCACCGAATCCCATTCTGTGCATTCAGCCTCTCTTCTCGCCCGCTCAGCATCAAACACATAGAGTTCCTCATCTGTATGCTCCGGCTCAAACAGGTATGGCTCTGGGTCTGTGTCCGCTACAAGAAACTCTTCAAAATTGCGTTCAAAGTCGTCCATTGCAGCTGCTATTGTCCGGAGATATTGCTAGGCTAAATAAACAGCTGAGCTCTGTTTACAGGCTACGCTGTCAGTCAGTGTGCGGGCTGGAGATTGGAGACTGGAGCAGAGAGGGGAGGGGGTCCCCACTCGGTATGGTAAACGAGTATTTGTGTATGGAGTGTGTGTGTTACGCCAGAAGAGTCAGAGTTTGGGACGGAGTCTTTTACCCCCTGGAGTGTTACCAGAGTTTCTGGAGTGCTCAAATAAACTGGCCTTTTTCCCAAACGTTCCTCTGGTCTCCTGCTCGTGAGGGATTCATTACAATATCGTAACATGGTTTAGATTTCTAAATAAACATTCACCTCGTCGCTAGATAGACCTACTCCTGAAAAACTTGTGCGCAAGGCTTTTTGTCCCTACGAGGCCACCGTCATTTACCCGACGGGAGGGGTGAGCGAGTGAGCCCTGCAATCTAGAATTTGACCACTGATGTCACTGTTTTCAACCCATTTTACACACTGGCCCTTTAATTTATTTTTTTTTTGAAAACAAGGATTTTTTTTCTCTCATTTCAGAAACATTGCTTCTTTTGTTTGTATTTGTTTATAACTACAATACTACATTTTATATTTTATAAGGAGCTGCTTTTGTTTTATATGCTGCTAAGAAAAAGGAGACCCCAGAAGATGGGTCTCAGGTATAGCTCCATCATGGTTCAAAGTTTAAAAAAAAAAAAAAGGTCATACTTAATTATGTTAGTTTAAATAAATTAAAAATGTTAAAAATATCAAGGACATTTTCTCTGGCATTCATACTTTTTTACAACCCAGTCTCACTCTGAAGACATCGAAATCAGAATGGCACTTGTGCAGTGACTTGCGGCGTCAGACACCGACAAACAAAGCCATTCTTTAACATCAGCATGATACACAGCAGGTTGCCGTTATAGCTTAACAGCACTCGGCGGTGTCAGGGAGAAACTAGGCGGGACAAGAATGAAAGGTGGCAAAAGTCCAAGTGGGGCACACAGGAGTGGTGGTGGATGCGTCCAAAAAACATCAACTTTCACCTGGAAGAGTGGTGTTCGTTTTCTGTAAGATTAGAAAGCCAAACCCCTGTTCTGTTTTCCTAAACCCAACCATTGTTTTGTTTTTGCCTAAACCCAACCACTTGCATTAGTTGAAGGGAAAAAAAAACGTCAGTTCGCAGCGTTGTACTGACCTAGTGCATTTACTTTGAAAGAGACTGCATGTTAACAGTAAATTTTCTGTAAAAATGGAAGTGTATTTTGAGAGACCAACGCACCTGGGGTACCTTGCATGTTGTATCCGGACGTGGAAAGTCCATGACCAAACGCCGATATGTGATGAGGTCGGAGTGAGAATGTGTTGTGTTTTACTATATCGAGAACATACTGAGCCATGACACCACCGTTTCATATCATGAATTTTGTGAACCATTACACCCCTAGAAACTACAAATATTTTAACAAACTTTTGAAATCAGCAAAATTATATTTAATTTCCACCTGTGGTACACTGGATCCACAAATGAGCAAGATGTAATGAGAGTCTGACTGAGCGCTAGACATGTATTTTCCTGAAATTATTCAATTTCCTTCATTATGGATTGCCACTAATACAAAATGTATGATAAGACCACTCATGCCTTATTCTGTCTCTTCCTCTGCTGC